AAACCTCAGAGCAACAGACAGCCTTTGAACCTTGTGTTTGTGGCTCTTGAAGCCATTTGTGATTATAATTTATAAAACAAAGACAGAATTTATAAAACCAAGAACAAACTCAGACTGTCCCCAGTCCTCCAAGAAATACCTTTTGGACTTTGGATCATCTGCTGTCAGCCTCCCACAGATGTTAAATGCAAACAGGTTACCCACCAAAGCTTTAGAAATTATTCAGAGTACAAAAAGTTTAGAATCAAGGGTTGAAATCAAGAAGTTTGAGATATTGACAGAAGCCTTAAAATATCCACTCTCCCATCTTGATTACATCACAAACACTTGAAGTGTCTGGTGAACCAAGATTCACTGAATTAGAAAAGACTATCCTTCCAATTCTCAAGATGTTATGCAAGCCTTTGCCAGGGCAGTTCTGTGCATGCAAACAACGTTCAGGGTTACAGCAAGTGGCATCATGCAATGAATATGCAACAGAAGCAAATTAACACTGAGAAAACAGTCCTGTTTTCCTGCAAATATTCTCCTCTGTATAAAAGAACAGAGAACGAGAGACGGTAGAAAGGATACAGTTCAATTCTCAACAGGCAGCCCACTGACTTGATAGTTATACATGGATGGAGGAAACATCGGCTTCTATTTTTAAGTAATTGGAAATTCTTTCGTCCCCACATCCGGGCAGTGCATATTTGAGAGGGGGTTTTATCCTTCAGGAAAGTGTAGCAATAGCGCTATCTAGTGACACTTCGTTTAATTTTATATGTGGATACATGTGCAATCTTCCTCCTTTGGTGTCATCAGATTAAACCTAATGCTGTTTACTTGGTCACCTGATCTTGCAAATGTTCCTTCTTGTGTCAGTAACTTGTCTTGGGAACAAAACAGGGTCATACAAACACTTACCAGCTATCAATATTTAGTTGGACTGGTAGATCACAATATAATTATTATTCCCTCTTCTCACAGCAATCCTCTGAGACACGTAGGGCAAAGACAAACATATCCAGGACCAGAATGTCTAAGCAAGAAGTTCAAGCTGGGTATTTCAGTCTTAGCCCAATACTTCTGCTCCTGGGGTACAACGGTTCAAGATCTGAGGACAGGACCTGTTTTAAATTGAGATAACTACATTGTAACTGTAATCCAAGCATGGGGCTTCTGGTTTTGCTGAACTCATTTCTGCAATTTTAGTCCACTGGTTCTAGTCCACCCCCTGAAACAGCAGAGAATATTTATTTCATATTAACCCATTTCTTATTAACAGCCCTTTGTGATTTTGAAAACCATGTTAATTAATTAGACTTACCCTTTTATTTTTTTGTCAACTCATGTCTTCCTTCAAGCTTTTCCTTTCCAGGCTAGCCATAAACAGCTCTTCCAAGTTCACTTTCTTCTCAAGTATAGTCAGTTTAACCCTTTCTAAAATTTGGTACCCAGAACTGGACATAATCATGATCAGTGGAAAATGGACAAACACTTACTTCAAATGATCAGGAGAGCCAGTTTGGTCTAGTGGTTAAGGCTTGAGGCTAGAAACCAGGAGACTGAGTTCTAGTCCCACCTTAGGCATGAAAGCCGGCTGGGTGATTTTGGGCCAGTCCCTCTCTCTCAGCCCAACTCACCTCACAGGGTTGTTGTGGGGAAAATAGGAGGAGGAATGAGTATTAGGTATGTTTGCTGCCTTGAGTTATTTATAAAAAATAAGAAAGGCAGGATAAAAAAAAGCTAGAAACCAGGAGACTGAGTTCTAGTCCCACCTTAGGCATGAAAGCCGGCTGGGTGATTTTGGGCCAGTCCCTCTCTCTCAGCCCAACTCACCTCACAGGGTTGTTGTGGGGAAAATAGGAGGAGGAATGAGTATTAGGTATGTTTGCTGCCTTGAGTTATTTATAAAAAATAAGAAAGGCAGGATAAAAAAATCTAAAAAAAAAAAAGCTAGGCTTTCATTATTGCAGCCTAAGACCATACAGTATCAGCATTTAAAGCAGACACATTGCACTGTTGGTTTCTGGCCAGCTCACAGTGATTCATTATGTCAACTCAATCATTTTCATTCAAGTCAGGTCACCTCCATTCCATTATATGGAATTACATGGCATGGATCCAGGTTACCTGAGGGACCGTCTCATCCCCATTACATCAACCTGTCCCACTCGGTCAGGCAGAGAGGGCATGTTGCGGATCCCATCAGCAAGAGAATGTCAGCTGGTGGAGCCCAGGAAGAGAGCCTTCTCTGCCGTTACCCCCACCCTTTGGAATATTCTCCCCCCAGAGGTGTGGCGGGACCCTACCCTCCCAGCTTTCCAGAAAGGTTTAAAGACCTGGCTCTGTCAGTGTGCATGGGGCAATATGGGCTCTACCTGTCCCGGGGGTAGTTAGCCCCCTGACAATGGTCCCTGGAATTACTCGCCAACTCTCCATCTTTCTTGGAACCTATTTATTTTTAGGAGTGTTTTATGTTGCATTTTAATGAATTTTATCTCTGCTGTAAACTGCCCAGAGTTGTTTCAAAGAGATGGGCAGTGACAAATTTGATAAATAAATAAATATTCATGCTTTTGTTCTTTTCTACCTAAATTCAAAAAACTTTATATTTATCAATCACTTTTGACTTTAAAGTTGTTCGTTTTGGCTCAGTGGAGTAATCTATTATCAAGATCTATTTGCTTCTTCATCCTGTCTTAGTGCCATAATATAGTAATCATTCCTCCTAGAATGTTGCATCTCCAGTTCTAACATACACCACTATCCAAGATGCTCCAGAGAAGCCCACAAAACCCTTATCTTCTAGCACTTATGGCAAAATGTACTTCAAAGTGAAAAAGCAGAATTAAATTTCTGGAGTTTTCTTAATCCACTTCTATAGTAGGCAAAGATTTGATTATACCATAAGAAGGCATTCAAGTGAATGAATGGGCCCCATCCTGCCCCAAAGTGAAGAGAGTATTTGGATGTGTTCACACAACACATTACTTTAGTTAATTAACTACACCAATTTTCTAGGTTCACATAACATATGGAATCTTAAACTAATCACACAGACTAAGTTTGCATAACATGGTAGGTTGTCATTTGTGGCTCAATATATCATATGAAACTAACCTTTGGAAGGTCTGAAACGTTTTGGTTAACCCTGTCCATAACCCCGCCCCCCAGTTTTATAATAACTGCAGTTCAATGTTTGTACATTAACACATGAAAACAGTATGACTGCATAGCATTATTTATTTATTAGTCTCAAGGTGGTGTATCACCTCCTCCTTTTCTCTCCACTACAAGCCCATGAAGTAGGTTGGGCTGAGAGACAGCAACTCATTCACAGTACCCAGTGAGCTTCTGGGCTCAGAGTGTACTAGAACCTAGGTCTTCCTGGTCCTAATGCAACATCTTAGCTATTAAACACTGGCTCTCATTAGTAATCTCATGAATGATCCATTTTCATAAAAGCACCAGAGCATTTTATGAAATTATTCTGAACTTTGAAACCCTGTAACAACTACAAACGTAGTTCTAAAGTAATAGTTCTGAGTATCAGACTAATAACATGTCTGTCACCTCATCCTGCTAGTCACAAAACAGATTAGAAAATAGTGATCATAATCTACTTCAAAGTGTCTGAACCAAGCAGGATGTAATGCCAATCACCAATTAAAGATTATCAGAAAAAATATGTTCTGAGTTTATTTAAACAATGTAGACATATACACACACACACAAATGGAGTAGCTAATGGACTGAATAGCATCTTAGAATGCCATGAACTGCTAGCAGTTTATTTATGGCTTAAGCCAGGGCTTTTAACAATCATTTATTCCTATGTCAAGAAAAAATCACTAAAGGTGTTTATGCACTGTATGTCAGTCTATTAATTGCTTCTTAAGTTCTATTCTTGCATATGGGAATTAAAATTAAAAGAAGGGAAAATCAACTGGTTTGTCCTCCCTTCTTCTGGCAGTTTTCATAAGCACAGAAAGAAATGCTGAAAACTGCATATTCTAATATTGAATCACTTATTTAATAACAAATTAGAGTGTGTTGCATGTGAACATTTATAACATGCTCATTTTAGCTGAGAGTTAAACTGGAGCTCCATGCATATTTCCAAGCCTTGCTAATATCAACGAGCGATCTTAGCCTGCTTGGGATGGCCTTGCAAGGCTGAGCAGTGCCTTGGACTATTCCCACCTGCTAGGGCCTAAGCAGGTATTATAAGACCACTGGCTTGTGCCTCCCCCCATCCTTCAGTAACTTCATAAGCACTACGTAAAACAACAACATGGCCATAACCATCTTAACGAAACATTGCAAGAATGGACTCAAACTCCAATCCCATATTTAAGGAATGTAGGAAGATTATTTGTCTAACTATTATAATTGGCAGCTTTAAGGGTTTCTCAGGCAGAGATCTTATTAGCTATGGGAAATGATTCGGGAACTGATACTTAAGAGTTAGGGCAGATGCTCAACCCAGTGGTCTATGGTCCTCCCCTTCCAGCTATAGGGCGTCCTTCCCCGACTTGTCACCTTCCAGATGTGTTGGTCTGCTGGATTACCCCTCCCAGACCTTTTGCAGTGAGAATCCGACGCACCCAAACGTGCAAACCACACTCAAATATCAAATGGCATTTTCTCTCCTATTGTTTTGTTTGCTCGGTTGTTCTTCCTCCCTTTCCGCTCCCACTGCTTTCCCATTGCTATGCTTCCGTTTTTGCCTCTCGCTGGCCCCAACTGTCAGTCTTCTGGCTTCCGCAGCTGCACCACAAAAATTCACGAGGCATTAGGGGACACAACAGTACGGGAAAGCTTCATTTCCCGAGCGCTTCTCTGTCACGCGGGGACCCAAACCGCCCAAGCAGGAACCACAGCCCCTGGCTGCCAGCGACCATCCGTTCCCTCCTTTTCTTTTGCCTTCG